TATTCTTACCTCATCAGTTTGAGTGGCATCCTTTAACAAAGCACGGCTACCCTATTTAGAAAAATAATGAAAACACTATTTTGAAATTACCCCTGTATTAAAAGCAGGTTCTTTGAAATTTCAGTGTTTTAAATAACAATGAACTAATGTGACTTCACTTCTTCTATTATAGCATTTTTGAGCTTAGCCAAGTACTACTAAACTTTACCTGAAGAATGGAATCCTTGAAGTGACTGATTGCTGACCACTGTTTGGGTAAAATTGGGAACGATGACTGCAAAGCACAAAGATAGAGAGGATTGTAAGTATAACATTGAAGAAACAATCTAATGTTCAACAATTATAAAATATTGTTAACCATAGTAAGGGGAAAAAAAACAATGTTCAAACAACAGATTAACTATTTCAACAATCATTTTATATCTATCAGTGTGCTTTCATGTTTAGAAGCCACGACAAGTTCTTCATCTTACCAAGTTGGTGACTAAAGTTTATGGCTGCCTTTACTGATACTTACTTTTTTGTTTGGTGATAAGTGCTTTGATTTAATATTCCTGTACCACTGAGGTGTATTTTGCTGAATACAATCTGTTAGCAACTCCTTCACACAATCACACAAAACTGAGGCCAAAGCCTCAATTAAAAGAACCTCTCTTGGAATAACAAAATCCTAAAAATATATTATACTGCCAAAGTGTAAATGATTTTGTCCACACCAGGTTCACACTAGCAGTAGGTCTAAACTTAGGGATAGGATTGGTGGGACAGGTTTTATTATAATGGGGCACACAAATTTAGTTTAAAAATCTGTAATCATACTCAATCTTGTACCCATAAGTCCAATCTTAAGGTCCCTATCATTTCAGCCATGATACACACATATTTATTATTATTATAACCATATTTAACACACCAGTAACTTAGGTGCTGAGGAATCCCCAGTGTCAATGTGGAGGATGCTAACAATGTGATGGGAGAAAAGGTACAACTGAGCTGCCTTTAGATATTGCTTTCTCTCCAATGCACTCCATACCTATGTGATTAGGATGTCAATGGGAAGAAAAAAAATAAAGAAAAACAGTGTAATTACAACTTAGACTGAATGCTATAACTTATATATATACATACAGTCTAGAGAAGGAATTTCCTCCACCCTTTTAATATAGTGACCATTAAGAATAAAGGTACAGTGTAACACATGATTCAATTATCTTCCCAAGTTAAGTATACTTCAGTGTAGTACACTCTCCATTGTGCAGCTTTACCAATTATTCATATACTACTTTACTGTTTTCCCTTCTAGATTAGAGAAACAGTGCATCATATTTGTCAGGAAGAAACAATACCTTTTCTGGAGTGTCTACTAACAGCTTCATCTGAGATGCAATGGCATAGAAGCCATTCTTAGATTGTGAAGATCTAAGAAAAAATAGAACAAAATCTGTCAGCACCCTATTAATGTGTAAGAGTAAGCAAGCGGACATAAATAGCTGCCTTAATTTTTGCTTGCTACTTAACCTTTTGTCAAACTCCTTAAACACTTATTGATAAACTGATGTCACTATCTAAATATGCGATGTTTACACAAAGGTGAAGCTTACTCAAGAAAGGTACAGAGTACTAAACTAGTACTACTTAATAAGACAAGACAAGTAACGTAACTAAGAAAGTTTTTTTATATAATCCATGTACTCAAAGTCACTGTCTCTAACATCTCAGCAGAGTAAATTGAAGTAATTTGTTGTCAACATTTAGGGTGCTTGTGAGGCATACAGGCTGTATACTATGAGTTGAATGTAATATCTTATTTACCCTTTTCCCGCTGGTTGAGTTGATTGAGTACCACCTACACCATGGCATTTGTGGGACAGATGAAGTTCCTTACATTGTTTCTGAATATCATGCACAAAGTTCATCACCTATGATGACAAAGGTTACGTATTAACTTAACAATCCATTTGCTTTTTAGAATGACATGCTGGTTACTTCACTGGCAAGTATACACTTTGCTCACAGGCCACCTTTAGAACCCAAACATCCACCTTGTATAAGATTACGGCAAACCACTTACCTATCCATCCCTAACCCAACGTTGATGTTAAATTCTCACAGACATGCACAGAAAGCAAATTTTTGACATCAATTTGTGTTAAATGGCTTTGTTTTACTCCTTGCCATATAAAATATCGGAATTTTCAAGGAATTGTCAGTGGATGTTTTACTTCACTAAGTACACACAGTAGAAGAAATCTTGCGATGGGTGATGACCAAAAAGACTGTTGCTACATCATAAAGATTTTACAACATCCTAACTCACCTGACCCGCACAGGTTTTCATTTCTGTAACTGTATCAGCTGCATCAATAAGATCTCGGTATCTTTCCCTGAAACAGAGACACCTCTTTAATTCTAAACAAGTTCTAGGTCCTTGTTCTAGGTTATGAACTGAGATTTTGGTCCCTGGGATCTATAGTTGCCACTACGTAAATCAAAAGGAAAATATAAGGTTACATAACTCACAGTATGGACAAGGAACACAAGTTCAGCAGCTGAGATTTTTTTTCTCCTCTGGGTAATTTGGAACAGGTTCAAAAGAACACCAATACAGCAGGCCACTAAGCAGAATACAGACCCTTAAATTCAACTGAATAAGTGTACAGGGTGTACCTAGCCTTTTTGCAGGGACATCACTACTTCTCTAAAATCAGTTACTCAATGATGTCTGGCTTTTGTTACCTGTATTTGACAAGAACTGTAGAGATAGATCTTTGCATTATTCAATATTAATTGAAAACAGAAATCACCTGTCTGTACTGTTGAAGACAAGATGGAGAACCTGATAAAATGTTAAGCCAACATTGGATTAACACCGCGCTGTTTCCACTATCTTATGGAAATCGATCACATTTTTCACAACAGATAAATTTTCAATGATAAAAAACACTTTCCCAGTTGAAATCTGGCCAATATCCTGTCTGAATGACTCAGAAACCTAGGAAAGGGGACTTTAAGGTATAAAAATCCAAAACATTTCCGGGGGGGACACAGCTAGAAGCTTGAGCTCGTTTAGGAAATCAGTCAGTATTTATCCTAGATCGGCACCTGTTCTGGGTATGGTGATGTATGATAATGAGTTTAAAACAAAGGGAAACAAAATTTAAACCAAGGATAAAAATTGAAACACAACACATACTTGCATAATGTCCAAGTTAAATTTTTAGCGGTTTAGGGAGGCGATTCTTCCGTAGAATTTATTTACATGGCGGTACTAGGTCGGAAGAAGCAACTTTTTAACTGTGCTTAAACTAAAATTTGACATTTAGAACTGAAATCTCCCCGTGAAGTTCTAGAAAGAAAGAAATAAATCTTAAACAATTTAGCTTATACAAGGAAGTAGTTTATAAAGCCTTACCCAACCATCAAGCGAAGATCTTCTTTTTTTCTCTCAATGTCACCCCTGCAAGTCGTAAAAAAATTAAGTTAAAATCTCTTCCTGACTAATATACTTCTTGGATATTCAAAATATCGATCAGGCTAATGACTGGCCTCGTTTTGTGCTCTACGGCTCGGATTTCTTCAACAGTGTGACTGGAAAAGAGGGAATCACTGTCCATTTCGGCATCCCAATGAACTGAGGAAATATATTCAAATCAGTATCTCTGCCGTAAATAACCAGATGAAATGAATAATTATTAGCCTTAAACAGTAATCATTTTACTAACAAGATTCTGCATTGTTTTGACGTGGCGACAAAGGAGATATTTGTGGTGTCTTAGGAGATTTCGGGCTACGTGGAGCGTCCGCCATCTTGCCCCTTCCCGCTCGACCAAGGCCTTTCCCCCGCGCTTTGATTTTGAGAAGGCCCTGGAAAAGAGTTGCGTGACGTAATGTGAAGTTGTGTTTCGTATGAACGAATCGTCGGAGAAT